ATCTTGGGCCAGGATAATGACTGCAGAAGATGAGGCCGCCCCAGACAACCAACTTTTAGCAATTGCCTAGCTGGCAAATACTTATAGGCCCCTAATGCGTAACTCTTTAGCAATAGCCCAGCTGGTACATTCATGAAAGTTATGAGTGCGCCATTGATTGGAGCTAGCATTGCCTATAGAACTTTGCTATTGTCTATGTCTATTTTTGGCAGAGGCTAAAGGACTCTGTGGCTGTACCATCTGCTCCTATAGGCACACTTCCGTCTTTCAATAGTYTGGCTATGTCACTATCACTTCTATACTAGCAACACTTCATGGAATTACCACTGGCACGTGCTTCGAACCCCCTGCTCAACCGGCTATGATGTAGCCACAGGAACCATCCTCAATCGGTTTTCAAAACCCCAGCCTTGTGGCTATAAATACAAGTTCTCTAGCCCACTTCCTTCCTTCCTTCCTTCTCTCCCTCCTTTTTTTCCCTCCTCTGCTGCCATTGAAGAGACCCTTGTGGCTGTGAATTTCCTTCCTTCAACATCATTAAAAGCCCTGCCACTGCCTCTATTGACTATAGGTTGAATAGCTGAACTTCGACATTTCTTCAGCGTTGCTATGAGACCTCCCACTTTCTTCCTCCTTTCCTTCCCTCCCACCTTTCTTTCCTTCCTCAGCCGACATTAAAAAGGGAATATGGCTTTGTGGCTATGAATCGCTTTCCTTCAACATCATTAAAATCCCTGGCTATGTGGCTATTGGCTATAGGCTGAATAGCCACACTTCTACCTTCCTTCGGCTGCATTTCTGTGCAACCTCCCACTTGCTCCCAGTTCACTTCCTTCCTCCCTTCCGTTCTTCCTTACCTCCTGTCTTGCCTTTCGCATTGAAAAGGCTATGGCTTTGTGGCTATGCATTGGCATCGAAAAGGCTGTGGCTTTATGCCTATGCATTGGCTTCTAAGACTTTCAACATAGGTTTGAATAGCCACACTTCTTCTTTCCCTCGCCATTTCTATCAATCCCCCCGGCTATATGTGGAGATAACTTCTTCAGCTATGTGTCCCGGGTTTGACGGTCCCAGCTCCGATCATGCACAGGCCCATCGGTGATCCATGGCTCTATGGTCATGGATCTGTAACAGAATTATTGTTGATGTCATGGCTTTTGCCAATGATGGGGACATGAATGAATGACATACTACAGTCTTCACCCGAATACAACGTACGGTCATTATCACTGTATCTAGACTCAAAGTTGCCCCAAATACAGCTATAATGACGCCGGCTACATTGTATTCGGGTGAAGACTGTAGCAGGTGGTCATGCATTTCTCTAACGGTGCTCATTCACCCACATGATCTAAGTCGATAAGGTGTTTCCCACATGAAGCGGCAAGTTCCGTCAAAGGTTCCTTGTGCGCCTTTTCAGGGATCGAGGTTCTGTTTACAAACCTGGTTCAGATCCTCGAGCAGATGCGTGGAATCTGGACCAGTTTTCTGTTGCAGATGCATGGAATCTGGACCAGTTTTTCATGACCACCAACCGAGCTGGCTCCACAGAACTGGGTGGCTTCAGAGCTTGAGTTTACAACCTGGTTCAGAACCTAGTCCAGGAGGAGATGCGTGGAATCTGGACCATTTTTCTGTGACCACTGAGTGAGCTGGTTTTGCAGAACTCAGCGGCTTTAAAGCATATTCAGCCAGACCCAGAATCAGGAATTATGCTGGAATGGAATTTCAAATTTGTGTCTAGTTTTTTTTGTCAATCTGTGCATGTCATGTGGCTGAGCGGTACAACGCCCACGTAAGTGCTGATAGACAGACCTGAGTTTGAATCCTGGTGGAGTAAAATAACATCTGAATAAGCTGGTGCCTCTCATTTTGATGATGATATCTCAAGACCGTTGCCCTTTGCAAGTTTGAATGCTGATCGAATACAAGAGCCCTCGATTAACTGGGATCTGGCACGTCGAAGACTATACCTCAAGGTCGCTGTCTGTTTTCGGGGGGGCGAATTTGTAAACCAGGCTGAACCAAGCAGTTCAGAAATTCCTCCGACCCCGGGTGGCCCTGAAGAATTCAGTCACACCCAAGACCAGTAATGCCAAACTCGTTAACCGAGGTAGAACCAGCCGGTTCAGAGCTCACAACTGGCAGACGCTCCACAACCAGGTCACGTCTACTCTCTCGTGTAGAGAGAGAGAGAGAGAGAGAGAGAGAGAGAGAGAGAGAGAGAGAGAGAGAGAGAGAGAGAGAGAGTTGAAGTTTAAACTGGTTCAGAATGTGGACCTCTGAACTCATGGAGAGAGAGAGAGAGAGAGAGAGAGAGAGAGAGAGAGAGAGAGAGAGAGAGAGAGNGAGAGAGAGAGAGAGAGAGAGAGAGAGAGAGAGAGAGAGAGAGAGAGAGAGAGAGAGAGAGTTGAAATGAAATTGGTTCAGAATGTGGACCTCTGAACTCTGACCCTGGTCCAACGTGTTGTCCAACCAGCTGGCTGGAACCAGATGCAGCGAGTAGGTGGCTGAATGGCTGCTCAGCATCAGTACTGAAAACTGGTGCAGATTCTTCCAATGTATATGGCTGCATTACCATGCACGTCATTGTGTTCGTCATCGTGTTAACAGACACATCTTTTCTTTTGAAACCCATCCAATTGCATGCACCCGTCCATGCAAGTGCATTACCATTGCTGTTGCCTGCAGCAACAAAGAACAAAACAAACACACGCCATCGACAAAATGAGCAAAATATCTTTTAGAAAGAAAGGGCAAAAGAAAAAGGAAAATGTCAAATGGATGGATGCAAATGACTGTAACGATGAGGAGGAAGGATGCCAGAAGATGACCAACAGGCCTAGCTCAGCTTGGGGAAAAAAAAGGAAAATAGATACCAGAAAATGCCTTTTCCGGTTTATAGGATCGTGAATCCGCAGGTTGATATTTTATAGCACCGTTTCAACACTTGAAAGATCAAGTTAGGGTGATTAGTATTGGTATGTGTTGAGGGCATAGAAAGGTGATTAGTATGTGCGCTGAGGGCAGAGCAGTGAAATCATGCCCCTTCTTCTTCTTCTTCTTCTTCTTCTTCTTTCTTCTTTCTTCTTCTTCTTCTTCTTCTTCTTCTTCTTCTTCTTCTTCTTCTTCTTCTTTTTCTTCTTCTTCTTCTTCTTCTGCTGCTGCTGCTGCTGGTGTTTCTGCTGCTGCCGCGGCGGCGGCGGCTGTTGTTGCTTTAGCTTCTTGTTCTTCTTGTTCTGCTTCATCGTTTCTTTTTCATGTGACACTGTGCTGAAGACAGACGAGCGAATCCAGGCCTTTCTTTGTCTCGGTCTTCTTCTTCTTCTTCTTCTTCTTCTTCTTCTTCTTCTTCYTTCTCCTCCTCCTTCTCTTCTTCCTCTCCTTCTTCTTTTGGCCAAACGTCATTTTATACTCGTTGTTATTTGAGTTTCTCCYTCGCCATCTACTTTGGCACTCCCCCCTTTTGTCTCTATAACATCYTCTTTTTTCTTTTCCCTCCGCACAGGCCCTTACATCCGTGCAATTCCAATGCATTAACTGGCGTACCATGCTCGAGTAACCACCCAAACTTCTGAAAGTCGCAGCCGTATACGAGCCGCAACGCGCTCGGCCGAATGGGTCTGGCAACTCCAATCCACATTCATCCAAGTGGAAACGTTGTGGCTCTGCTGAGCGATGTTTTTTTAACTTGTGGTTCAAGGGCACTAGTGGAGCAAGTTAACTGGTGGTTAAGCCAACTGAACACCATTAAAGCAATGTCTAAAATAGCGTAACTAGCTAGGCTACCAGCCGGGCCGCCGGGGCCACCCTATATTCCCGGACGGCCCGGCCGTGCAAAGACCAGTGAAGGTCCTAGCCAATATATATATATATATATATATTAGGGCTGGGCCGGCGACCGGCCGGTCGGGCTGATCCAGTCCAATCGGGTCCGGACCGGTCCAAGGGGGGTCAACCGGCAAACCGGATGGCCCAAAAAAACGACCAATTTTTTTTTATTTTTTTTTATTTTTAGCGGGATCCGACTGCGCTTGCCGAGATCTGTCCCATTGCGCAATAAAACTTTGAAGGTTGGACGTTTTTTTAGGGGTGTGCCGGAAGGGGGGGTTGGGAGGGGGGGTGGGGGTGGGCGAGATCGAGAGTGGCGAGGGGGGTGTTGTGTGCAGGGCTTGCAGGCCTGCAAACAGCATCATGCATACAAAATGGAAGTGAAGCCAGACAATACTAGACAGAAAGTGTAAAGAAACAGAAGAAGAAGAGTAGAAGAAGAAAAGAGGGAAGGAGAAGAAGAAGAATAACAGAAAGATGAGACACATGAGAGAGAATATCATAAAGATGAGACACATGAGAGAGAATATCATAAAGATGAAGATCTGCAGCACTTCGTCATGTTTGCGATGGAACTCTCTCTCTCTCTCTCTCTCTCTCTCTCTCTCTCTCTCTCTCTCTCTCTCTCTCTCTCTCTCTCTCTCTCTCTCNCTCTCTCTCTCTCTCTCTCTCTCTCTCTCTCTCTCTCTCTCTCTCTCTCTCTCACACACACACACACACACACACACACACACACACACACACTATCTCTCTGTCTCTCTCTCATTCGGAATCCCCTTTGCTATTCTCGTTGTCGGGCGACTCTGAACCGCGGGCATCTGAGTCGGGGTCGTCCTCCGAGACTTGCAGTTTGTGGGGCCTGCAACGACCACGTTTCGACTTCGGTGCAGTTTCATGCCCCGTCTTCTCCTTGCGAGGCCTCCCACGACGACGACATGGTTTGTCAGGTGCGGGGATGTCATTCACCGGAGCCTTCCTCTTTCGCCCCGCCCTGCTTCTCCAGATGTTGTCGTGTTGGGCATCCTCATTCTGTGCTGGGTAGGGGGGTCTGCCGGAGTGGACTATTGCTCCTCGGAGACCACGCACCGTTGATCCGAGTGTTTCTAGCTGCTGTGCAACCACGACCTGCTGGTCTTCCTGTGGCTCTTGCGGTGCAGGCTGGTGCGGTGCCGATGGGCGGGGTCTTCGTGTGTAAACTGTGGGTGGTGCTGGTTCCTGCACTTCCTCTCCCCCTTGCTGCTGAGTTTTGTCCACATCCTCCTTCATATCATCTCCCTCTTTTCCTCCTCGATATTGTCCGCTGTCTCTTCCTCCGTGGGCTCCTCGATTGCTCCATCTTCCGCTGCCGGCTCCATCAACGGCTTGAAGAAGGATCCCCAAACATCAACGTAGCCATTGTCCTTGCTATTTTGAACACGCAGCAACTGCATGTTCCAGTGAATGTAAACCAGCTTCTCCAAGGACTCCGACGAGAGGCTGTTTTTGCACTTCGAATGGACAAAGTCCCTCGACGCCCAGTTCCGCTCCGCGGGTGTCGCCGTGCTCCACATTCCCAACACGTTGATGGCGATCTGCTGCAAAGCTGGAACATCCCCACCGTGCAAGGTCCACCAGTCCGCAGGCGTACGTCGCGTTGCTTGCTGGAACATCCCCACCGTGCAAGGTCCACCAGTCCGCAGGCGTACGTCGCGCTCTTGCAGTGCGTTCTGCACGAGGGCGCTGTTCGGTTTGTTGAGCCAGCCTGCATCTCTCCTCCGTGGATCCAACAAAAACGCAGCTGCATGAATGGGCTGACGCATCATCTGCATGCGGTCCTTGACCTTGCCGATTACATCCTCCCTCTCCTTCTTCGTGAGTACGACGTTTGCCAACTTCCTTGCAATGAGATCGTCGAACTCCACGAGGTTGGTGGGAGAAACTCCTTCCCTGTCCATCCTTTTCAGGAGGCTGTACACCGGCTCCATAATTGCCACAATTTTCCTGACTTTGGCCCACCAATTCTCTGACCTCACATTGTAGTAGACAAGGTCGTTTTTTTTTTGCAGCTTCTCTCCCGACCATCTCAATGCCCTCCACTTTGTTGCAGAACCTCCGTCCACCATCTCATTCAACACTTCCACCCTGTCCTCCAGCCTGTCCAGCATCTGGTACACCGACCCAAACCGGACCTCTGTCGGGCGCTACAATGACAAGGAGTCATCGATGGAAATCATGAGACCGTGTGTGGCATGATGGTTCCTGATGAACTTCACGATCGTGTTCGCCGTCTTCACCGTGTCCTTCACCCAAGGCAAACTGCTTAGGTCCTTCAACAACAGAGTGCAGCAATGCGCTCCACAAGGCACCCACGGTATCCTTGCAATGTCTCTGTCTGTCCGCCTCTCCAAGATTTGCGCCGCCTTCTTGTTGACCTCAGCGTTGTCTGTGTAGATCGCGTTGACCCATTTCAGCCCGATCTCCCGGATCACCTGCTCCCACAACTTCGTCAATGCTGCTGCGTTTTTCTTCCTCCTGGTCATGTAAACCGTGGTCACCAAAACTGCTCCTTTCTCCCCCGCTGCTAGGAAATTCATGACAGGCCGGTTCTTGCGATCTGTCGATCCGTCTGTGATGAATGTGCAGCCGGTTTTGTCCCAGCAAGCAGTCAAGGGGTTGATCGACTTCTGCACCTTCAGGAAGATGTAGTCCAACATGACAGTCCGCATATGTTTGTAGGTAGGCAACTTCACCTTCGACTTTGCATTGGCAACCTTCCAGTAAGCGTCATGAAGAGCCTGCGTGGTGTCGAAGTTCAGGAACTTCAAGTTGAAAGCAATTCCAGCCCTGAACATTGCTTCCGCCCATGCAACATCTAACTTCTTCTGTGCATCGTTGTCAATCCACTTTCTTATTGTGGCCTACGTCTTCACCACCACAACTTTGGCACAGGCCTCCCCTCCACCGGTGCCATCATCGCCCCTCGCTGCAGCTTTGTCATCTGTTGTTGCGATCGGTGCAGCAACTTGTGGAACAGACCGCCCTCGGACAGGCGGAGGCACCGGCCAAGACGACGGATCTTCAGCATCTGATGCATTCTCCGCAGCCTCCTCGCCCCCCTCTATGTCCCTGGAGAGTCCTCTGAAGTTCTGCAGCAAGTACCGGGTGTTCTTGTCTTTGGGGTTAACCTTGTCTCCCTGAGTAACAAACTCATCCACAATCTCCCCCATCCGAAAAGGACACGGTTTCTGCACTTTCAAGAAATGGTCAATCGCCTTCGTCGACGACCCCCTGAAGACCTTGGAACAAACGCGACACCTCAGCCAGTACTCCCCGCGTCCTGCTGGGCATGCCACCTGTCCCTGTTCGACCAACTTCCAGACTGCATTCTTCTTCAGCAACTTCTTATGCTCGTCCTCGTCCTTAGCTTGAAAGAGACTAGGATCAGTGGCGGGTGTCGCCTCCTTGTTCATGGCCGTTGTTGTTGACTGCGTTGACTTGCTTGACGAAGGTTTGTCGGGAACATGCTGCACTTGCTCTTTCCCCTTGCCTGCACTGCTACTGCCTAGCCTGCGTCTTGTCGGCCCAGCCCCACCACTTTCGTCACCCGCCATGCTGTCGCCCACGGTGTAGTCGAAAAAAATAATAACCTATAAGTTACGGATCTGTGGAGCAATGTGGGTATGGGGTGCTACTCAGGGAGGAGGAGGAGGAAGAAGAAGATGACGACGAAGGAGGAGAAGAAGAGGAGGAGGAGGAGGAGGAAGAAGAAGAAGCGTGCAAGGGAGATGAACGAGCTTCAGGAAAAAAATAAATAATAACGGCTACGACTAACGGACGAGGAGGAGAAGAAGAGGAGGAGGAGGATGAGGGGGAGGAAGCAGTGCACAGGGAAGATGGATGTTCGGGACAAAAAAAAAAAAACGGCTGATACGTTGGCTATGGCTAACAGACGAGGAGGAGAAGAAGAGGAGGAGGAGGAGAAGAGGAGGAGGAGGAGGAAGAAGATGACATAAAAGAGGAGGAGGAGTGAAGGAAGAAGAAAACGAAGAGAAGGGAGGAGAAGAGGAGGACGAGGAGGAGGAGGAGGAAGCAACACACAGGGAAGATGGATGTTCGGGGGGAAAAAAAAAAAAACGGCTGATACGTTGGCTATGGCTAACGGACGAGGAGGAGAAGAAGAGGAGGAGGAAAAGAGGAGGAGGAGGAAGAAGAAGATGACGAAGAAGAGGAGTGGAGGAAGAAGAAAACGAAGAGGAGGGAGGAGAAGAAGAGGTGGAGGAAGAGGAGGAGGAAGCAGCCCACAGGGAAGATGGATGTTCCGGAAAGAAAAAAAAAAAAAACGGCTGATATGTTGGCTATGGCTAACGGACGAGGAGGAGAAGAAGAGAGGAGGAGGAAAAGAGGAGGAGGAGGAGGAAGAAGATGACGAAGAAGAGGAGGAGGAGGAGTAGAGGAAGAAGAAAACGAAGAGGAGGGAGGAGGAGAAGAGGAGGAGGAGGAGGAGGAGGAGGAGGAGGAGGAAACAGCGCACATGGAAGATGGATGTTCGGGAGAAAAGAAAAAAAAAACGGCTGATACGTTGGCTATGGCTAACGGACGAGGAGGAGAAGAAGAGGAGGAGGAGGAGGAAGAAGATGACGAAGAAGAGGAGGAGGAGTGGAGGAAGAAGAAAACAAAGAGGAGGGAGGAGAAGAAGAGGAGGAGGAGGAGGAAGCAGCGCATAGGGAGGATGGATGTTCGGGATAAAAAAAAAAAAAAAAAGGTTAATACGTTGGCTATGGCTAACGGACGAGGAGGAGAAGAAAAGGAGGAGGAGGAGAAGAGGAGGAGGAGGAAGAAGAAGATGACGAAGAAGAGGAGTGGAGGAAGAAGAAAACGAAGAGGAGGGAGGAGGAGAAGAGGAGGAGGAGGAGGAGGAGGAAGAAGCAGCGCACGGGGAAGATGGATGTTCGGGAGAAAAAAAAAAAAGAAAAAAAAAAACCCGGCTAATACGTCGGCTATGGCTGACGAACGAGGAGGAGAAGAAGAGGAGGCGAAGGAGGAGGAGGAGGAAGAAGACAATGACGAAGAAGAGGGAAGAAGAGGAGGAAGAGGAGGAGGAGGAGGGAGAAGATGATGACGAAAAAGAGGGAGGAAAAGGGTAGGAGGAAGAGGGGGAGAAAGAAGACAATGAAGAGGAGGGAGGAGAAAAGAGGAGGAGGAAGAGGAACTAGCAGCGCGCAAGAAAGATGGATTTTCAGGGGGAAGGAGGGGGGGCGGGGGGGAACGGCTATGGCTAACGAACGAGGAGGAGAAGAAGAGGAGGAGGGGGAGACGGAGGAGGAGGAGGAGGAAGAAGAAAACGAAGAGGAGGGAGGAGGAGAAGAGGAGGAGGAGGAGGAGGAGGAAGAAG